ACGATTTTGCGCGAACTATTTCCCAGTACCATTTAAAGGGTTGCATTCGCACTGAGAGTGTGTACTAAGACGTGACGTAAGCCGGTCGACAGCAACGTAATTTGTGCGCGCCAAAGTGGGTAGTTCCACAATTAGTTCTGGTACTATGAAAATGTTCCCACGGTGCGAAAGGCCCTAATAAGTACTAGTATCTAAAAAATAAGTAAATAAGTACTAGTATCTAATAATAAGTACTAGTATCTCATGAATAAGTACTAGTGTCTATTTAATAGGTACTAGTATCTAATAAATGAGTACTAGTATCTAAAAAATACGTACTAGTACCTAATGAATAACTACTAGTACATAAAAATTAAGTACTAGTCACTAGTGGAATACATACTAGTCAAAACTGAATAGTTGATATCTCAATGACGGATCCCCATAGAAGTCAATGGCAAAAATGTCAAATTTGTTACTAGTAACAATATAATAGTTACTAGTCACTATTGAAATAAGTACTAGTATCTAATGAACAAATACTAGTGTCTAATAAATAAGTACTAGTAACTAATAAGTACTAGTATTTAATCAATAAGTACTAGTATCTAATGATTAAGTACTAGTATCTAATGAATAAGTTCTATTAACTTTACAAAAGACAATAGTACCTAAAGAATAAGCACTAGTAGTTAATGAATAAGTACTAGTACTTAATGAAAAATATACTAGTATCTAAAAAATAAGTACTAGTAATGCTAAATTAGATACTAGTGCGGTTTATAGAGTAAATGTTAAAACGGCTTGCCATATACTGTGCGCTTGTCTGTTAACTAACTTTGAGCTCCAGTGCTGGTGAGGTGGCAGCTCTTCATAGCAACATGCTGGAGGTGTTTGTTGATGGCCAGGGCTGACAGGATAGGCGTCCAGTCCGTCAGACTGATGTGATCAGGGTTAAACTCTAACATCCCCCGACTCAGGCTGGCTTTCACCGCACGGACAGGAGCTGATCCCTGAGCCACACACACGTGATCATAGTAACCTTCAAAATCCTGAGCACCTCTCCGACGGATCTGCGCTGGTTCCAGCATCATGCAACCTAAGACAAATAATGGACAAATGTAAGATCTGCTGTCGTATCTAAAAGCTGTAGGTTCCCACAAGTGACAAACCATGAACTATGACCATTGTGTACTAGAAAAAGGCATGGAAATGCAAAGTGCGCTTTGTAATAATGTCAAATTACAAATTTTAGCTTTAAGTAGATTTTAAATTAGGTTTTAATGATCTTTTGTCATGCTTTTTTTGATATGCTGACTAATATACTAAATCACATGTAATGTACTTGATTATAATTTTTACTCTAGTGTGTTATTCAATATTACATTTAAAGTTAATAAATTTAATTGTAATAAATGGCAAATCCAAATTATTACAAATGTGTAATTACACATATAGTTAAATGCATGACCTACAAATTTCAACAGAAATGACATTAAAGTTTATTTTTTAGTTTACCATAAATGCTTCAGCAGCACAATTTAACCATATTTCGAAAACAATAGTAATTATTAATTTGCATATAAAGATGTACTTAAGTGGTTCTAAAAACACTCTTAAGTAACTACCTGTATTTAATATAAATTGAAAGTATAATACATTTTCTTTTAATTGTAAATAACATGCATTTAAGTGTCCATAAACATTACATTCAGTTTGCACAAAAGTATATTATTTAAATATGTATTATTTGCATAATAAATACTCTTTTTAAAGGTATGTATTTATTTTGCCAACCATAGAAGAGATTATTAACACTCAATTGTTTTACAGGTACATTAACACATACAGACAGACAGTGAACAATTATCATGTTGAATTAAAATATAATTAAATTAAATGAGTGCAGAATGCGTCCACTTTAACCTCTGGTTACACCAGGGAGTCTTTTATTGTAATAAATCTACTGTAAATCACTTCAAGAATGAAACCATCAGCTAAACGAAACATTAACATACAGAAGACCTGTCTCTGCTGACAAGAAAACAATTCTCACTTACTCTTTAGATCCTGATTGCTGAAGGCTTAACTCACATCGAAATACAAATAACGTTACACGCCAAAATAACGTGTATATGGCTGATTTGGCCAGGATATTCGTCACATTTCTACCTTTGATAGGTTTTTGTATTAGGTGCATGCGCACCTGCAATAACGCATAATGAACCTGGTGTTGTCTGAGCTACAGCAAGCGGTTTAAAGCTGATTTCGTCTTTTCCTTTAAATGGGTTGAACGCTTGTTACCTGTTTGTTAGCGCTGTTGTCGTGGTTTCCACTCTAGAGACTGATAAGTTAACCCACCCAGTGTCAAAACAAACCGCGGCGGTTTGAAAGAGAAGCAGCGTCTCATTCTGCGCGTCAAACTCCATCTGCGCTTCTGCGCTCAGCGCCACCTGCTGGCGGGAGTTAGCACAGCGTCTCTTAACCCCTTAACTGTTTTTTAAAATAGACTTAAATTGTTGTAATTTATGAACACTTTGGAATACAGACATAAGGCTGGTCTCTTTTTAAATAAGAAAATCTGCAAATTATCGCAAAAGTGGAATTTTTTAAATTTCAACTTTAATGGAGGAGACCGCCAAAAGATTTTAAAGTACCATTTCCATGGTAAAGCAATGTCAGATTTCGAAATGGTTTACACAGGATGAATCTTGGGCTTTTAAGCTTTCAAATGATATATGATTTATGATGATTACTAAAAGATTTGATAGAGAAAAAAGACAACAACAAAAAAGAGCGCCAAACGTCCCACAGGTGGGACGGTGACGGGGGAAAAAACTCACTTTTGAGTATGATGCAGCTGTATCCGTCCAAATTGATCATTTATAGATAGTAAAATGCAAGTTATTCAGAAATCATCATGGTTGCATCAGAACAGCAGTGCTATTGTAGAAAGTTGAATGCAAATGGCCATATAACTATTGACTGTTTGTGGTGCAGTAAACCTTGATTAACATTACCATTGAATGTGAGGGAATCATACAATTAGAAATAATGACATTTAATTCAATTATTTATTTATTGCTCTCTCTAAGAGAACAGCAACTTAAAATGTCTGATTTCTTTTGAGTTCTTCACAGTTTTGGTTCTTGGTGAGAATGTGTTGATTTAAAAGCATGGAAATAAGAAGATGCCATATCCCTGACTCTCTCTGTGTATTCTGAGTCCCTTCATTTTCACTTGGAAAGTAGTTGCAAATGTTTTCCTTGCTTACTTTGACTACAGCAAGCAAAAAGGATAGAGTTTTGCCTAAATCCAGATCTTTCTACGCAGAAAGCTCTCTTTAATTGTGTCCAGCATGGTTTGACCTTTTAGTCTTTCCAAGCAAATGTTTTTTTGTTTGTTTTTAACTATTCTAATAATCTCTGAATCAGACACAACTCTTCCCTCTCTGCTCTTGGAAAAGCCATGTCTTGTACACTCATATTACAATATGCTGTGATGTGAGTTGGGTCAATTTACATTTAAATATAATCTATGGTAGAATAGAAATTAGGTTCCATCATAAAATCTATAATTGGATTATGTCTCTCAGTAATGCAAACTGAACTGATCTTACCGTCATAAATCAATGAAAAATGTATAAAATAATATTGAAAAAAGATTTTAGACTCCATTCTAGAAACAAAGCAAAGAAATTCAGCATTGAGACTGAGCACTTGTCTGAAATGAATGATTATGATTATGATTATGATTATGACTAGATCAACTTGTCCAAAATCGTCCTCTGACACTAGAAAAATTATACTATAAAATTATTCATTTTACATGCAACCAATAATGACCAGCTTCATTTCTTCATCCAAGTTTGGTTTTTCTCTTGCACATAGCAAGTATTATAAGTATAATATCTACCAAAATGTACTGTATAGCAAGGACTGTGTTGGAGTTTATTAAATTCAATATTTATTGACCAAAACAGTGGTTCATAAATCGTTTAGCGCTTCATAATTTTTACTTGCTGAAAAGTATGCCTGTAAATTTGTGAGGAAAAAAAATATTACAATGAGAAAAGTTTGGGGTCAGTAAGATGTTTTTTTTATTAGTTTTTTTTTTTAAATAAAGAAATAATAGTTTTATTCAATAAGGATGCATTAAATTGATCAAATGTGACAGTAAAGACATTTATAATGTTTAAACTTTGTTCGTCAAATAATCCTTATAATGATTTCTGAAGGATCACGTGGCATGAAGACTGATGCTGAAAATTCAGCTTAAAATCACAGGAATAAATTACATTTTAAAGTATATTACAATAGAAAACAGTTATTTTCAATTCTAATAATATTTCAAAATATAAATGTTTTTACTGTATTTATAAACAAATAAATACAGCCTTGGTGAGAATAAGGGACCTAAAAAATCACAAACTTTTGATAATGTAGGATGTAATATAATATAATATAATCTATCTATCTATCTATCTATCTATCTATCATCTATCTATGTATCTATCTGTCTATCTATCTATCTATCTATCTATCTATCTATCTATCTTTCTTATCGGTCTATCTATCTATCTATCTATCATCCATCTATCTATGTATCTATCTGTCTATCTATCTATCTATCTATCTATCTATCTATCTATCTTTCTTATCGGTCTATCTATCTATCTATCTATCTTTCTGTCTGTCTGTCTATATATCATCTATCTATCTATCTATCTATCTATCTGGATTAGCTGGGAAAATCCGTGGACACACCACTTCACGTCCCTATTGGTGCGGGTGAAGGTGTGGCGACTGAGCAGCACAGACGCTCATCCCTGACGCCAGGATGTTCTGCCATTCCTCCACCAGCACTGCTAGTTACACATTCAGACTGAAGTTCTGCCTTATAGCTGGAGATTATGTTCAGTGGACTTTTAAAGGAGGAGCCCATTCATGACCTCTCAGACTGTGGTGTGGAGCAGAGGAGAACAAAATACGTCTAATCCAAACTGTAGCCTACTAGCTTGCTGAAGATCGTGCTCTTTTAAACGGGACGGGGCTCTGAGAGAGAGAGAGAGAGATCATGGCTGGATGTTGCATGTCTGCGGAGGAGAAGGAACGGCAGAGGATAAATCAGGAGATAGACAAACAACTGAGGAAAGACAAGAAAGACTCGCGTAGAGAACTCAAACTACTGCTGCTGGGTAAGACGTGCTTCATAAACATGTGGAATAAGATGTTAAGATAAAACGTTTTACTAATAGATAGATAGACAAAACTGTACTTGCAGGTAATGTAATATTGCTAAATGAAAGGCCACTTAAGTGTACATAATGAAAATAGACTTTCATGACTGTTTCGTAACACACTTAAGTACACTTTTAAAAAGTGCACTTTGTTGTAATGTCAAATTAAACGTTTTACTTTAAACCCCGTATTAAATCGTTATGTTTTGATCTATTGCCTTGCTTTAAAGATGTACGCTTATTTTGATGTGTTGACTACATACAGTACTAAATCGCATGTTATGTACTCGATTATAATTTTAACTGTAGTGTGTTATTCAATATTACATTTAAAGTTAATATATTTTAAATGTACTAAATTGTAACGTCATCATTACAAATGTGTAATTACAAATATATTTAAATACATCACAATGCAAGGTTCAGTATATTTTAGTTTACCATAAATGCTTGTCAGTAAATTCAGCAGTATTTTAAGCATATTTCAACAGACAATAGAAATTGAAATTACATAAAGATGTACTTAAGTCTTACTTAAGTGGGTAAACAAAACATGGTAACACTTTATTTTAAGGTGTCCTTGTTACAGTGTAATTATACATTTAAGTACTGAGTAATATTAATTAATTACATGTACTTACTATATGGTTGGGGTTAGGATTAGGTTTAGGGTTACTTGCATGTAATTATGCATAATTTATTGTTATTATAAATTATAATAGTAAGTACATGTAACGTGTAATGATGCGTGTTACCAAAAACACTCTTAAGTTCAACTAATTGCATTTAATATCAGTTTAAACTAGAATTTAATTCAGTTCACATTCAGTTCACACTTAAGTATATTATTTTAAAGTATGTCATTTCCTTAATAAGTATTTTGACATTATGCTAAAGTGTACAGACACTGAAATTACTGTGAAAAAGTTAGAAAAGCTCTAACTTAAATAATGACACACAGTTTGATGTTTTGAGGGGTCTGTATGTGTATGGATTTACAGAAAGAAATGAATGTGTGGTTTAGCTGCTGTGGTACCGTTTTATACAGCAGTTCCTGGCCACACCGCCACTGTCTCTGTTCTTGCTATGCAAAAGCATGCAAAGCAGATCCTGCACTGAACTCTAAACAAAATTTCCTCAACAGCACTCCCTCCCTCAGCAACACCACAGCAGATGCACATGCAGGAGAGAAGGCTTTGTCATATGTCACATGTGTGCGTGCATGTGTGGTTTGAGTGTCATTTACTTGTAACAGTCTATTGGTTCATACACACATGTGCAGAGTGTGTGAACTGAATCCGTCTCCCAGTAGATTCATTATTACACTGACCACATTAAGAGCCGGCCCTCGAGACAGGCCGAACGGAAAGGTCAAATTAAGCATCACGTTTACGATACTCCTTTTAACTGTAAACGGTGAGCAATGACTTGGTTTTCTTTATAAATGTCAAAAGTGAGAATGTTGTATGACGACATGTTTTACAGTATGTAAAACAAAATATTTGCATTGTGCTTTCATGTGTGTGTGTGTTTGGGATGTTTTTGTGCTCAATAAGCGACGTAATTTCAGGTGTGACCAGTGCAAAACAATTAGCCTTAATAATAAAAAAAAGGATTTGTTCTTGTTGAATGGCAGCATAGTAATTTAAAACAATATGTTTGTGAAAAAATATTGTCATTAATACACACTACTTTCCAAAAGCTATTGTTTGGAAACGTCAAAAAATGAGATTTCATAGCATATTATGTACCCTTCAAGTCAAAGGTTTGGAATAATTATGATTTTTTTTGTAAGTCTCTAATGCTCACTAAGTCCGAAGTTAATTTACGTGATCAAAAAATTTTAATTGTTAGTTAATTAACAATCAATAATAAGGTTCCTATTATTATCGATGTACAAACATTTGTTTTTGCTTATAATAAATGTTTCTAGAGCAGTAAATCAGCATATTAGAATGATTTCTGAATGATCAGACTGAAGTAATGATGATGAAAATTCAGCTCTGCATCACATTAATAAATTCAATTTAACAATAGAAAAAATTTTTTTTTAATTGTAATAATATTTTACAATATTACTGTTTTTACAAATAAACACAGCCTTTGTTAAGAAAAAGAGACTTCTTTCAAAAACATAAAAAATTATAATCTAATTATTCCAAATGTTTGACTATTAGTATATTTATTCTATAATTGATAAATAATTCATTATATTATATATTTCCACATGAGAAAGTGACTGACATTACATTTGAGTCACTGTGACTTTTAAATAAAACAGATGTTTACTTATTATAATTTTATCATAACTTATAATCTGTAATCATCTACATTGCAAACCTCTTAGCTGAATAAACATCATGGTGAAATGCATTTCTGTGACTTTCAATTGAACATTATTATAAAGCTGATACGTAGATCTCAGGACTCTTGGTTTCGGATTGAACTCATTCAAATCTGGTCATTTTCATTTGTGTAAAAAATCGCAATGTCGCTAGGACATTCTCAAGATGCTAATTCATGCAAAGTGGAGAATGGTTGAATGGAAAATGGCCCACAGAAGAAATTTTCGTTTCAAATTTGAATTCCCATAAGCTGGACCCAAAATGAACTTTTTTGCATCACCTGCTGATGCCGAGTGAACTCAGAAAATCTAGTTGTCATAAATATGCCAACAAGCCAAATTTGTATTATTACATAACAAAATATATTTTAAAGGGATAGTTCACCCAAAAATGAAAATTCTGTCATTAAAGTGCCCCTATTATGCCTTTTCGAATATTACCTTTCATGCAGTGTGTCATGTAGCTGTATGTGAACATAAACTATCTGCAAAGTTGTGAAGCCATCGCCTAACCGAGTCGTCAGGAATTCGAATCTTATTCTGTTACGGCTCTACGTCACGAAGTAACACATTTGCATAATGTCTGCCCACGTTCTACGTCGCCAACTTGCCCGCCCACAAACAGTAACA